TTAGTTAAGAAAATTTCCTTTTTTATATATTTTCGAGCATTATTTTTCGAATATAGAAATTTGCGCCGCGTCATAGCGCCCTCTCACTTGTACAATCTGCTTTTGGACGCCATGTAGGCATTTCATGCCTGCTCGCTGTATTGTTCTTGTTCTCGATGTGTCTTTTCCGTGATATTTTTTTGAATTAGCCTACTTTTATAATCGAACACAATTTTTGGCATGAGCGCTGGGCAGCGCGCGCGGGGGGCTGACTCGGCTGACTACTCAGAGAGCAAGGTGTCCATTGTTGCTCTGTTACCCAGGCGTGGGTGTGGGTGTGGAGCTGCTCAACAGGTGGTGTTGAACCATGACGCCCTCCCCCCCCGCGCCCCAACTGTCTGGCAGAAACGGGTCCGTTCAAAAACGAACCCGCGCAGATTTTTGGTTATATATTGTTTGTCAAACAGTCCTAAAACTTGACTGTTTGCCATTGTTTTCAATATATCCACCTCTAGGGCCGAAGCAGTGAAAGATACGGCAAATCCGAGGCTAGTTCCTGATTCGGAATGTGTTGTTTTGGGGGGGTACTTCCTCTGACATTTTACGATTGGACGCCTCCCTGTACGTCTTTATGGGCAATGTGGTCATTTTCGCCGTATTTTCGTCGAAAAAAGCACTCTAGCGCCCAAACGGTGCCAGATAGAGTCAAACGGACACAATTTTCGCCCAGAGGGCTCTACTTTCACGAGTTACCCCTTGGGAGACCATAAAAAAAATATTTTTTTCCTACTTTTTGAGATAACATTATGCAAAGGTCTTGGAGACTAACTTAAAAGAAATCGTGCATTTCTTCAATGAAGTACATAACACAAGGGTGAAAAAAAACAAATTTGCACAAAGGTGACATTGAAACAAGGATATATAGTTTAAATGGAATCCTTATACACCAGCTAAATAAAAGTTATGACATTGTCATAGGATACCTTTATACAGTGACAAAAAATTAAAAATACCACAGACAACATTATGCAAAGGTCTTGGAGACTAACTTAAAAGAAATCGTATATTTCTTCAATGAAGTGTATAACACAAGGGTGAAATTAAAACAAACTTGCACAAAGGTGACATTGAAACAAGGATATATAGTTTAAATGGAATCCTTATACACCAGCTAAACAAAAGTTATGACATTGTTATGGATACCTTTATACAGTGACAAAAAATTAAAAATACCATAGACAACATTATTCAAAGGTCTTGGAGACTAACTTATTGGAAATTGTAAATTTCTTCAACAAAGTGTATAACACAAAGGGTGGAATTCAAACAAAATTGCACAAAGGTGAAATTGAAACAAATATACATGGTTAACATGGAATCCCTATATACCAGCTAAACCTTAATACCTATATACAGAGACAAAAAATTAAAAATACCACAGACAACATTATGTGAAGTAGGTCTTTGAGACTAACTTGAGGGAAACTGTACATTTATTCAATGCAGCGGATAACACAAGGGTTAAATTAAAACAAGATTGCACAAAGGTGCAATTGAAACAGGAGAATGAACTAACAATTCCACAATACAATTACAATGATTGTTCATAAAATGTACACTGCCTGGCACACATTTGTACACATGCCAGCAAAGCAAAAGTTATGACATTGTCAAAATGGGATACCTGTATACAAAGACACATAATTGAAAATAAATTAAAAAATAACACAGATTACATTAAGTTGTCTACAAGACTGAACACATAAACAGAATGTTTTACAGACCAAAAACTTCAGCTAAATGCCACATTTCTTAGGGTTAAAAAAAGGACTAACAACTACAGACTTACTGACAAATCACACAAAAACCAATAGGAAATGAGAAATATACCATGATATACCCTCATATTAGTCCCATGAACTGTTTCCTTGAGGCTCCGTGATCCTGTATCTAAGACAGTACCCTGTTTTCCTTTGACTGGCTACTGTTTCTTTCATACGAGCAATTAGTAACCTGTACCTCTCACATATTTCAGAAAAGAGGTTGCTACGCTTGTTGGGATGTCTTTCTGTTACGTGAAGAAGCAAATGGAGAAAAGCTGAACGACCCCTAGCGTTTGTGGGTATCAGACAAGATGGACATTGAATGATTGGAAACCTGAGAACCTTTCGGAATGGAGAGGGGTGGCTCAAATCGTCAGAATAAAGGTCCACATAATCCTTTGCAATTTTCATCAACTTAACAGGGTGTATGTGATTCCTGCTTTTAGCTTTAGGGTTTTTCAATGCAGGCGACTGAAGTAGGAGTATGTTCTCTTGCTTATCTACAATACATGCTTTCTCGTCTAGGTCTGCTTCGGTCTTCAAGTGAATCAAGTCCATTTCTTCAATCTGGAGACAAACATAAAATGGTAATTACCATACGTAAACAAATCCTAACAATTGTATTCCAGATAAACACTTGCTTTTACAGTAGAAGAAAGATGCATTTCACTCAAATCAGTCTTAGTAATAAATGAATCCTCCAGAGTTGTGTCCATCTCGTAAGTAACCTCAGCTGGTTCTTTCTTCACAATATCATGAGACTGCATTGCATGACCATCCATTGCTCTCAAACTAAAAGTAATAAAAATAATAACAAAAGCATAATGTACACCCTTAAAAAGAAACGAACGTAAATAACACATATGGTGTACATGATTTTAGGTTAATGGGACAAACAGGAAAGACACGTATTTTATTTTTTAGTTTTAGTAGACTGTTCAGTACATAATATTTCATATACTAAAGAAATATTCATTGTTCCAGAACCTAAAACAAGATTACCTTCACAAGATGTGAGACTGTCGCTTTAATTATTATAATTTTCCTTGGCCGTTTGTTTGTAGTTCCTGTTATGTTATGGCTGCTGTTCTTCTGCTCTGTCGAGTACTGTCAGTCACAGTCAGTCAGTCCGTCGCGTCGATCAAATATTCCTCTTTAATAATAATAAATGTATAAGTGTGTCGTTTTGCCGCTAATATCCTCTAATAACTGTGTGAGTTTGTCGTTTTGCCGCAAATGTGCCGTTTTTCTGGTGATCTGAACACTTAAAATCAGAATCTGTCGAAGTGGAAGAGTTTCCCAGGAGACTATACTGACGATCATAGTGTCCTGGGAAGCTATACAGCCAGACAGCAGAGCAGGT